AACAATGAATCTCTTGTCAATCATCGCCCAGTGGACTGCACTATTAACAAAAGCACAACTCAAGTTAAGAATATCATAGTCTGTATATGGCAGCTCAGATAGCTTGGCATCCTCTATACTCCTCCATGAGTTTGGCTTCAAACTATAAATGCTGAATTCACATAGAGCTAAATTTACATCACCAGGGCCGTAACGCTTTTTCCACGTTACCACTTTGTAGTCATCGTTTTTGTGATCGTGTCCGAATGCGAGATCCATGCACCGCCAACTTCCAAAAGAAGGTAGTCTGTGGTGCTTATTAATCCAAGGGTTCCACAAAGTAAGTTCCTCAATGAATGTATTCCGCAGACAAAGAATCCCATTCGAAGATCCAACGATTTTGATTTCGTAGGGAGAACACAATGTAGAGGGTCTCTTAAGTTCTTTGCCGCCGCCATGTTTATGAACCCAACAATCCAGGACGTTAAAATTTCTTCGATTCGTCAAGGTTATAATTTTGGTGTCATGATCCAGATTGGATCTTTGGGAGTGCAATCTGGTGAAATATGGTGCACTGTATTGAATCAATCGGTAGTCTCAAAAGGATTTCGGTAATCAGGTGGTCAGAGATGTCTTCTGAAATTATTGCTCAGGTCCGAAACTCAGCCTTAGCACCACTAACTAACTACAAAGCCTAATTTGATAACAAATCACAATGGCAAATTGCTGAAATCTTGATTTACTTCTAATGTGTTTCCTCTTTTATAAGGGGGAAAAAAGGATCCCTGGGCCCAGCCCCAACCCCATATGGATTTCGATAGCTGTTGCTCTGAAGAGATCCACTCATTGACACCATCAGAACTCCCAGTTCTACGTTTTGTATTTATAAGTTAATTAAAATATATTATATGACCATCTCTGTCCCCCAAAAAAAATCTAATTTTGAAAATATTAATCTTAAAATTGGACGTATGAGATCGGTATAACTTAAAATTCATTATTAAACTTATAAATAGTCATGAAAGTTAATTTAATTTTCATATTAATTTTTTAATTTGTAAGATTAATTCATCCAATTTTCATATTAAATTATCATAGTATCTTTCTTTTGACAAACTTTTTTTTTCTTTTGACAAACTTTAATTTTATTACTCCCTGACGAGTCATAAACTGAACCTAGGCCTATTAGGCCTAGGATTAGATTACTTGGACATTAAAACACCGCCTAAACTTATTCCGCTAGGGTTTCAGGAAACAAGAAACAGTTAACACCACCTCTATATAAAGAGGTGGTGCCTCTCCCATAATTCATATCTTATACACGATATCATCTATCCATCTTCTACACCTTCTATACACGATACACATACTTCTCTCTCTATTCTCTCTATTCTATTATTGACTTTAGCATCGGAGAGTCTACCCTCGGTAGACATCCGAGGCTCTGTCTTGTAGGTTTTAGGCCGTCCGTCGCCGCCTAGATCACCATCGCCGCCCGTCCTAAGGCACCGTGCAGATCCATGCTTCATCAAGTGGCACGCCCAGTGGGACCGATTTGTTTGGTCCTTCCAACCAGATAAATTTCTTGAAACGAAGTTGAGATTTATTGGTGCTACATGATGATCACGATGGTGATTGGGTTTGCAAATTGCTTGTCCTATTGCAACAAAAAAACATGGTTGCCATTGAAAAGCAAAGGCTAGCCGAGAACGACAATGCCGATTTAATTGAGAAGTCGCAGCAGCAAGCAAGGAGCTCACGATGTCCAAAAGCAGCCAACTGCTCGAGAATAATTCTGCAATTTTTATAATTGTAAATTAGTTCTTATATATTCCATTATTTCTATTTTGACCCTTATAGTTTCTTATTTTTTCAAAGTAGTCCCTAGAGTTCAAAATCCATTGAAGGGGCAGAAAAATCAATTAGCAAGGAGCAATCTCAAGATTGAAGTTTCGAGAGATACATCTCTTCGAAGAGGCAACTATCCCTTGAGCACCTTATAACTAATCGAAGTGTTCGAGAAGATGTCTCTCAATTTTTATGTACTCAACTGCAACCTTCTCAGAATTGAGGTAACACCTTCTCGAATGATCAATTTATCTCAAGACTGAGGTACTTCTCAAACCTTTTTTGAGATATGATCAATTTAATCTACTGCTGATATCATTACCATACTACTATCATACCACGATATCTTTTTAAGCATGATCAAAGTAATCTTTCGAGTTACCAACCCTTTAGGAAAAATTCTCATCACCCTGCAATGAGGAAAATCACCTCGGGGCTGCATTCAACTAGGAAAACGTACTCGGGGCACAAATTGGGAAAACCCCTAGAGGCAAGGAACTTGAGGGATCATCCTAACATCCTCTGCTAGAACTGATATTCTTCACGAGGATCTTATTACTACATGTCATTATTATATAATATTGCATCTCGATGATCCAAATACTCGTGGTCCACCACGCAAACAAAGATTCTCGCGGTCCACCGCGCAAACAAGGATACTCGCGGTCCGACCGCGCAATCAAGAATACTCGCGGTCCACGGTGCAAACAAGGATACTCGCGGACCACCGCACATACAAGGAACTCTCTAACATAAAACCTCCTCGAGACATTCTACTCTTTTTCTTTTATATAAGTGACACCCGAGAACAAAAGAGTTTGAGAACCGGGGCAACACCACGACGCTCAAGAAGACATCAACACTCATAACAACCCATATTCTTCTCATCGAGTCTCGAGAATATGGTTTGCTAGGGGCACTTGACGAGTCATAAACTAAACCTAGACCTAGAATTAGTTTACTTGGAGATTAAGCCACCGTCTAAACCTATTCCGCTAGGGTTTCAGGAAACAGGTAACACCACCTCTATTTAAAGAGGTGATGCCTCTCCCATAATTCATATCTTATACATAATATCTTCTATCCATCTTCTACACCTTCTGCACACGATACACATATCTCTCTCTCTATTCTATGTATTCTATTATTGACTTAAGCATTGGAGAGTCAACCCTCAGAAGACACCCGAGGCTCTGTCTTGCAGGTTTTAGGCCGTCCGCCGTTGCCTAGATCATCATTGCCGCCCATCCTAAGGCACCGTGCAGATTCATGCTTCGCCACTCCTTATTTTATTTCTAATAATTTTTCCGTAATTATAATTTATAAATTTTAAGAAATTGCTATTTTTTCCCCTACCACAGGGGAATATACTACTTGTTTTAGGTTTAGATATTAGATACCAGCAAGAGTCGTCATATAAAAGGGGAAGCTTTGAGCTGGTTCGTATCTCAATTCTCAACAATCGATCCTAGTACGTTTATGCAAATCATGGGATCATTTATGCAAATCAAAGTTTCAAGGAGGGCTTGGATTTAGAGCCTCCAGTGAAATGAACCAGGCACTTTTGGCAAAATTGGCATGGAGGATCCTAAGTCATAAAGAGTCTTTGTTTCCAAGGATTTTTTTTTTGGCTAAATATGCAAGAGGGAAAGACTTTTTAGAATGCCAGGTGCCAAAATCAGCATCATGGGGATGGAAAAGTATCTTATGGGGAAGGGATTTGCTTAAAATGGGTCTGAAGTAGCAGGTTGGAAATGGGGAAAGCATTATGATTCGGGATGATTGGATTCCTGACAGTACAAACCCATTGCAGGATGAACCAATTTTCCAGTAGGATCTTTTTGTATGGAGGGTGAGGGATTTATGGGATCAACAAAGAAAGTGGAGAGAGCCACTGATAAGAAGTATTTTTCCACCAGCAGTTGCAACAAAGGTATTGGCGAGGTATATCCCGCAGGATCGAGAGCTACCGAATGATCAAAGAGTTTGGTCAAAGACAACGAATGGGATTTATACAGTGAAATCTGGCTATCATGAGGCCAGAAACAGGAAACCCATGATCAGAGTGCGGGTACGTCATCCAACCAAAACAGTTTGAGCACAGCGGCGTGGAAAAAGTTTTGGGCGATAAAAGTTCCGACAAAAATACAATGGCTGATATGGAGGATAGTGAATCATGCCATTCCATCAGCCACGGCACTGAATCGGCGGGGGGGGGGGGGGGGGGGGGGGGGGGGAAGGGGTCACAGTAACGTTACGGTGTGTAAGATGCAAGAAGGATGCAGAGAATACTCAACACATTTTTATGGACTGTGAACATTCCCGAAGGATTTGGAGAAGCTCTCCTCTGGGTTTTGATTTAAACACTGACAATAGAGTGTCTCTGGTTGAGTGGTTTGAGGAATGGATGACGTCTGCACCAGACAAAGAAGTAATTCAACAGTCATTTTTTCTTCTTTGGGAAATATGGCTTTCAAGGAATAAAGCCATATGGGAAATGCATTTACAAGAGCCAGGCCAGGTAAAAAAGATGGCCATGATAGAGTGGGATGTTTTCACTAAAACTGCCTTGGCAAAACTTAGAACAGGAGGCCAGAAGAAAAGGCAAAAGGATGAAGGTAGAAACTAGGTGGAGGAGATGAGAGGTGATCAGTACATTCGTAAGATGGCGCTTTCCAAGAGCCTGTAGGTAAAGGTGCGGGAGCATGGGAGATTATCACAAATCAAGGCCGATATCTAACTTCAGGAATGGAGCCTTTTTATGTTATATCAGCAGAGGACGCGGAAGGACGAGCATGTTTAAGAGGTCTCCAGATGGCGCTATCACTTGGCCTAAGGGATTGCCAAGTACAAACTGACAACCAGAACTTGGTGGACTACATACAAAGAAAGAAGACATTCCCCATCTGTTTATTCCCTTTGATTAGTGATATTAGGCTTTTTCTCGTTTCCAGGAATGCAATGTAATTAAAGTGAACAAAGAGATTGTTGAAGGGTCACACCGGTTAGCGCAAGTGTGCCTTCAAACTTTCATCTCTGGACCAGTGTAATTGTCACTTTAGTTTTTTAATGGATTATAATAGTTGCAGTAAAAACAAATAAGAAATCCTACTACGTTGGAGTTCCTCGTGCGAAACCCATTTTTTTCCCAAGTCTTAACCCGGCCGGCCGCGATGTCAGATTATATCCCTCACCATCTGCTCGACGATTTGCTTGTGAGGCTCCCAATCGATTCTCTGATTCGAGCAAGGTGTGTTTCCAAATCATGGCGCGATTTGATCGACACTCCATCCTTCACCCAATTGCACCTCCAAAAATCCAATCTTGGCACCAAAAACAGCAGAATCATAGCTTTGAAGGGGACGACGATTTACACCTTTGATTGGGTCCGGGAACAGGGTGGCGACGGCGACGGCAACTACAAGGCGGTCAATGTCAAGAAGCTCCGAGACCTCCCTTTTGATAATCAGGTGGGTCGGGTTGAAATCGCGGGAACGGGTTGCTCTGTTTGTGGGATATAGCCACGGATGAACTTGTTTTGTGGAATCCACGGATTAACAAGCTCTCCCTGTTGCCGCCGCCTTTACCCGTTGATTCTGATGGGGATGAAAGATGTTGGACGGAAGTGGCATTCGGGTATGATCACATAAACGATGACTACAAAGTGGTTAAATGGCATAAGCTAGGAAATTCGATTTCTTCTCTGTTTGATGAATCAAGCTGCGATGGATATGAGATGCTTGTTTATAGTTTAAAGCTAAATTCATGGAGGAGAATTACGGATGCCATACCATTTGAGCTGCCAAAGACTCATGATTGCGTTTTTGCTAATGGTGCATTACATTGGCTTGTGCATAAACAGATGAATCCTGATTAAGCCGAGGCGAAAGACATGGTTGTTGCCTTTGATCTTGGAAGCGAGGAATTCCGGGAGATTGCTAGCCTCCCGGGGCACGAATGGTACAGGTATGAATTCCAGAGGTTGTGTTACTTGAATGGTCGGATTTCTTGTATATCCTCATACACTTCAGTTGGAAGGCTTGTTGGGGAATTACGGGTGAAGGAAGATTATGGAGTTGAGAGCTCTTGGACTAAGTTAGCTTCCATTGATATCAATGGTTTGTCTGGTTTAAACTTTAGGCCTCTGGCGTTTTCAGAAAAGAGTGGGAAAATGCTCTTGCAAATTGGCTGGAAAAAGCTTGCAGTTTATGATGTCGAAACCAAATCAATCAAAGATGTAAGCATAAATGATGAGAGAACTTGTGTCACTTCATGTGCTTGTGTTGGAGGCCTTGTTAGCCCTTGTTCTTAGTTCGGATAGGAGGAAATTCTAGTATTATTACGTTTGTCCTGTTTTGCTAGAATAGATTATATTTTCAATGAAATGTCAGTTTATATTATTTTGATTTGGTTGTGGATGTTTTTGTTCAACGTAGAGATAAATTACAATGCTTAACTGAAATCCAGTTCTGTGAGGTGTCTTTATTCTAAAATAATCCAAGGCAGGTAAAAAGCAAAGGGTTATTGCTCCTGATAAACCTTTTGATTTTTCATGATTTGCACTTTCACGACTCAAGAGAATGGAAAACAAAAATGGTGCCATCATCTATCCTTGAAAGAACAGATTTTTCATAATTTGCACTTCAAGACTGAAAGAAAAAATAGTGGAAACGAACATGGTAACTTAGCCTATTCTCGAAGGTACAAAATTCTTCAACTTCCATCTTCAGTGGGTGGATCAATTAATCTTACAGTGCGTGGGAGCATAAACTCGGTAAATATAGGGTAATGTGACGACGGATAAAGACCATCAATGTTGTCACTTATCACTTCGCATGAGACTGGTATCAGAGATCTTCCTCTAAATAGCACCCAGTCGATGTGTAGATCCTGAGTTTGGCGATCCCAGCAGAGGCAAAGCGCTCGGAATATCAGCTTAAGGAATTCCATGGCTCCCTGCTTGTCACCTGACAGAACACCAGGAGCAGTGAGGCTGGAATAAATTGTGCAACTCCCAGAAGGAATAACTATCAGAAGACAGGCAAGTACCTTTGAATCCATGATATGTGCGAATTAGGGATACATTTTTCCTCACTCGAGCATTGGGCCAAGCATCCCTCATGTCACCTACAACCCCGTGTTCTCTGCATGAAAAAGTTGTGGTTTCAAAAGAATTAAGCAGCTATCCATCACAAAATCAGAATATTATGAATGGCAGATTAACTGAGAGAATCATATAAAAAAGAACAATTTTTAGATGTGCAGCAGACAGGTTTAAAAGTTAAGTGGACCTTGATGCATTACTTTGGTAAAATAATGAGCCATGGAATAAGAAATGCGACAAAACATAGAATAAGGCCTACTAGTCTAATGTGTGCACCATCTTCAAGAAAAACGCCCAGAAAACTGTTTATACGAATGTTTCTCCATACACAAAAGAAAGAAAACCAGCATAACAGATGCAAAAAAATGGGTTTACAACAGAAAATGCCGTTAAGGAGAAGGTTAGACTTCATGAAGGAGATCTAAACTAACATGAATGATTTTAAATGAGTACAGTGTAGCACAGAGTGAAGGAAAATCCAAAATTGTTAATGGTGGAAAAGGAAATCAATGATTGAACAGCTATGCTGTTTTAGAATTATTCCATAGAGAACATCAACTCCAGAGACAAGTAGTTAGCACAAATTGCTAAAAGACTTTCAAAAAATCACAACAAAATCTAGTTAGCGCTCAGCGGCAAAGTCGAGAGTAATGTAAGACCTCGAAGATTTCAAGCTCAAAACAAATCAATACCTTGATCTACCAAGAAGAAAGCGGCCAGTGGTTGATTCCTTTTGTGTGTTAAATCCTCCACAGTAAACAACAGGCAAACTAGGAGGTAAAGAGGCGATGTGTTGCCACGTAAGTAGAGCACTTCGCCTACGAGCTCGAGGACTAAACTCATCCATACACGTATTTACTATTTGAAATGAAAAGCCAGGTGGTTCCACCCCTTTCAGTTGGAATGTGTACACATTTTGTAAAGGGAACAAGATTAAAAAATGATCAATGACGTAGCATATGAATAACGACGTAATGTTAGAGAAGACAGCATACTGTGTAAAAGGATATAGCCCATGTTGCAATGCATGGAACACTAGAGCCCCATGACATGCTTCCAGGTACTGAAGGTGACTCAGATAGCCAAAATGTACCGCCCTCTAACCGCTCTACCTTCATCAGAAAACAGAATGTATTCAGAGAAAAAGCCCATCCTTTTTTTTGATAAAGCAAAGTTCCTCTAAGACAGTTGTTACCAGGAAAGAGGAGATACTTTACCTTTTCTTTGTCATAGAAGATGGTGCAATACTGATCTGATATGTCTTCGAACCCTTTCCTCGACATCCCAAATTGATCATAACCTGCCAACTAGAATATATCAGCACTGCTAGACAGATCGTGTCACTAGTTCTTAGAAAGCTAATTTGTGCAATGTCCAACTCTATAAATTATGTCATTCATACAGGCAGACTTTTATAGCATGGTTCCAATAGTAGGATAGGACGTCATGCAGTAGGTAGTGCATTTCAGTCTGCAATCTAGGGAAGATTATGAACACCAAAGAGGATCTAGCGCACAAAATAAATGTAATCATCTAAGCGGCCAAAATTTTAGTTATCCAGAGTTTCAAGATAGAAATTTTTCAGAGCACATTCCAAACTAATTTGCCTTCAATTAATGAGCAAGGCAAAAAATTTCACGTTTTCAATGAATCACAAAACCATAAATGTAAGCTGACTGTCTTCCACAGGTTGCACAAAAGTGTACATAAACAGGCATATTCGTCAAGTTCCAGATCAAATCTCCAAGGTAATTTAAACATCTTTTCTTTTTTCCGTTCTTGGCAAAGCATCTCGCAATAAGTAATGTCACTTTAAAATGAAAAATTACTGTTGTCGTATTTTCTTTACAGAATGGCGTGTGCATGACACATATTTGCTCAAGCACATATGGAAATGCTTGTAACTGTTGCTCACTTAGCATAATATCGTCAAAAGATAACGCTTTATCTTTGAGGCAAAACTTCTGAATTCCAAAGAAAAAAGAAAACAGGACCTACCACTACATACAACCCCAGGACTGAAGTAACGAATAGATCAAGAAGGCGATATGAAAAAACATAATCCTCCTCTAATCAGTAAACCTACTCTGATCATAGTGCCCCAACTCCTACATACAAAAACTTTCTGCCTTCCTATTCACTTCGCATGATATAACTTCACTAAAATGAAAGCTTGATCCCACTAACTGGGCATTGTTAGTCAAATTGCTCCTGCAGACCGTGTGGACTACTAAATGGCTCCTACATTCAGAAAATTGTCTTCAAGGGACAAGTCGTATCCCTCCTCTACTAGCCTAATTTCTTCTTGACCTGCCAAAAATTCCCCCCCAGGAAAGTTTATAGTCCTATCTAAATAAAATTCAGAACATAGATTCGGAACTTCTACTTAAAAGAAATTTACTTCTGTTTCTCTTGAGGCATCACATCTCAACTTTGTCCGTCTCAGTATCAAGAAACCAACAACAGTGAGTTCTCACCTGGCAAACACTGCTGAAGATAGTCCAGCTGTGATTTCACACCTAAAAGCCAGGGAAATACTCTTCAGTTAGGAACAAATCCCAGCATTATCAACCATATTAATAAACTGGAACAAAAAAACCAAAACCAAAACCAAAACGAAACAAAAGCAGGAACCAAAAACACCAAAAGGGTAAGTCCTGCCCACAGATTAGACACCAAAACTGAAACCCATAACAAAAAAATGCGCAAAACCCACCATCGATAACACAAATCCTTGAAATCCCAGATCAACCGAATTCATCAAAAATGCAAAACCAAGCAATCAAGATTCAAGATCCAGTGATTAAGTTAAAACATACCCTGTTGAGTACAGAGGACCATTGGAGAATAGCTTGTGATAACACTTATACAAATATCTTTCCTTTTGTCCCATGAGTTTGGGCTGCCCTCTTCCTGATCTTCAAGAAGATTGAAAGTCATTACAGATAAAGAAACGCTCATCTTCTACCTAGCTTCTCTCCAGCACTTCAAGCTTTCGTCTATAAAGCTACCCCCTCCCTACATGGTCAGCTGTTGGCCACACCCAAAAGCAAAAGAAATAATTGGACTCTGAAGTTCCTCCTGTTCGATTGTACAAAGTTGTTGTGATCTTCGAATTGCGTGCAGGAGATTATTATTCAAAAGAATACAGCTTGGAGTTGAAAGTTTTGAGAATAAATTTTTTTGAAAGTTAAAAAAAGATGAAAAAGGAGAAAAACACCGCTACTCTAATTACGGTGGTGCAACGGCAAATGGGACGAGGAGACACTAACAATAATTTCCTTTGTTTTTCAAGGCTTAAAAAGATTGCATTTTCCCTTTTTGGTAATGAGCTAAAAATGAAACTCATATGTCATGTAATGGAAAGGGTCAATTTTTAACCATTCTCTTTTTTGAAAAAAAAAATGTATAGTCAGTGATCAGTCCATAGCTATTTTGCATATGTTTCTTGTACATATTACTTTAATATAATAGAATTAAAGGAATAAAGAAGCATCATATTCAAAAGAAAAATAAAGTTACGTCTTTAGAAAAGTAAAGATACTCATGTTTGTTGTGCTTTATGATCGTAGCAAATTAATTCTTACTTGGTGGAAAAGTGTTTAGTAAAGTAATATTTCGTCCGGATATTAAGTTTCGCGTAAAATTTTGTTATAAAAAGAAAATGTTACAAACGATCATGCAAGTGATACCAAAGCTATATAATACAATTCTCAAATTTATAGAGATGGTGAAATCATGCTGATGCGAGTTCAGTGAGAGGGTAAGCCCTCAAAGCCTTTGGATCTTTCATACTTTGGATCTTTCTTTAGTAACTGCTCTTTGGATCGGTTTGTACTAGCAAGGAATGTGATGCTTGGCGGAGAAAAACAGCCAGTGTAACGCATTTTCAAAAAGGATACAGTATTTCTTAAATTTTCAGAATCTAAAACGATAACGGGAAAGATTATGTTATTTTTCATCAAATGTGATTACCAAGTTCCTTTGCTATTGGTCTAAGCATCCAACAACAATTATAAGACCAGAAAGCCTTCATCTTCAAGTTGGTCTTATAGCATCACCAACCCCCCACACCCCTTTTATATATCGAAATACTGAATTGCAAAACTAAGAGGAATGCCGCAGCACCCACTCCACAAGAGTTGAAATGCCGAATCCGGTAGCGCTTTTCTTCTTATCATTCCAGACAGGACCGGCCATGTCAATATGCATCCACTGCACCTTCTCGTCAACAAACTGCATGGTATGAAAACAAAAAGGAAAGGTCACGAAAACAGTAGCTAGCATAAGAGTTGACCACATGGGGTACTTGATAGTATTTCATAAACCTATTAGTATCCATTCATAAAACTTGCCCAAACTACAGAACTGCAGACGTAAAACGAACTAGTTCAGAACCTTTTTGAGACTTCATTTGGCAAGCAATGAGACCAGGTTTTCTTTTCAGAGCTTTACAAGTAGATGACAGTCGTCACGCTTAAGAAATCAAACCAAAAACAAGGAATCCTAATTTATTTAGGTCCCGACGCTTCTCACCGTGGCTGTAAATTATAAGATTAAAACAATCAAGTCTCAGTTCTCACTAATAGGTCATATATTTGAATCTTATAGGTCCTAAATCTCAGGACATTAAAATTACGTGCTTAACTGATCACCCTAGCCCTTCTTTTTCTACTACAAGTTAATTATACATTGTTTCTACCTCATCTTACTTCACTTTCTAGTTTGAGTCTAGACCTTTTCAACTGTCAAAACCATCTCAAGCATAATTTTGCATTTCTCAAACATTGTTAATCTTCAGCCGCAGTTTAGAACAAATAAGGCACCCTACAATGATCTTCCTTATGGCAATGAGAAAGGATCCAATTTAATTACATCAATGCAAGAGTCACCTGGGGAATTTGATTCTATTTCTGACCTTGCCGTGTAAAATTTTCTATCATAAGACTACTTGCAGGCAGCGCAAAGAATCATGAAGAAAGTACCTGTTTGAGAAATAGAGCAGCGGTGATGGAACCACCTGGACGACCACCAGTATTTACCATATCAGCCACTCCTGATTTCATGGACTCCCAGTAACTTTCCTCCAAAGGCATCCTCCAGATTTTTTCTCCAGCAGCTTCAGCTGCCTCGTAAACTTCCTTTGCCAGGTCATCACTCGGAGTGAAAACACCTGCATTCAATTTCTGGCTATCAGTACAACAGGAAAGACAGTAGTATTTATTTCCCCTTTTCATTGGGAGGAAAAAAAACAAATAATCTAGAAAGCATGCCACAAGCAATGCTCCGAAATCATAAAGAGGGAACTTGCGTATGATTGACAAATGCAATATAGGTTCAAGTTAGCATACAATTTTGAGAAAATTTTCTAAAAAATTCTGATTTGCATTACACAGTCAATATTTAAAAAATAAAAGAAAAATTTACAGACCTGCAATTGAAGGTCCAAGAGCGACAACACAGGCCCCAGTCAAAGTAGCCAGATCAATAATCTGCGAGACATGATACATCATATATCAATAAAGGAAGCCTTGAACATAACAAAAACTCCTTAAGAAAGAGCTACCACAAAAATTGGGATATGCTATGTATCAAAAGAGTGTAAGCAAAGATCGCGATGTTAAGGAAACTAGAAGTACGAGGAAATCAGGCATATTGGTAAAGGCATAGAATAATATGATTTTAATTGTATGGATATTTTAGTAATTTTACAGCATAGTAGGAATTAGATTAAGGTTCATTATGGTTATTTTGTAATTTTCATTAGTTCAATTAGGCTTCATTTTTCGATGTTATTTTTTCAATGTAAATGGCTTCGGCTGTCCATTGTATGGTGGCTTTAGATTATTTTAATTATTGAGATTTCTCTCAAACAAATCCGAGGTTTTGTGAGCTTAGGTGCCTTATTTTGGGCATCCTTAGACTAAACAACCCCTTGAGAAGGTCGTTAATTAAATCCAGTAATTGTGTAACATCTGAATGGTTCGCGTTTTCATTAATTCATTTTTTGTACCGATTAGGGTTATGTTCGTGTGTTTCCCCAATTGATAGCTTCCGCTACGTCAGTTGGCATCAGAGCACAACCCAATGATAGCTCTGATACCAACTGACATAGCGAAAGCTATCAATGAGGGAAATATGCGAACACAAACCCTAATTGATGTGAAAAGGGAAATAACAAACACATGAACCGTTATCAAATCCGTTGAGATGTTACTTACCTACCAGATTGAACAACCTTCCTAAGAAGCAGTTTAGTCTAGGTCAAACCGGAATCTTTTGACCTTAAGATGAAGGATAGAAAAGACGAACAAAATAAAAGCATCATAAATATACATAATGATACCTTTTCTACACCTTGGTTACATGCATATACCAAAGCATCTGCAAGAGTAAGTCTTCCCTCGGCATCGGTATTATTGACCTACAATCATAGCAGAATGAAAGTAATCTTTTTATCAATTCATCAAAGAAAATGCATGCACAAAAATATCCGATATTCGAATGCAGGGATATGCAAAATGTTAGTGTGAAACTTAAATAACAATATCTTTAAAATTGTAAACTGAAGCACATAAGAATTCAATATTGAGAGCAACAAAAAAGGAATCTCAGCTCCTTGGCTTTTCAGCAAATATAATAAAGTCTACTACCTGCTGACAGTACAATAAAGAAACACTCTGGTAGAAGTTTATAGTGTTATTAGCTGCAAACTCATTAATAAAATGAAAGATATTTTGAAGCATTATTACAATGTCACTCAATTTGTTAGCATAACCATCTTTACAACTTCGAGCCATTAAACACCAATTTGTATGAAACAGAACGTGAACATGCACAAATTTTCCTTCAAATAAAAAGAAATAGAAAAGACGCGTAAGAAAACACTTTTGAGGAAATTTCCTTTCAAATGAGGCGCAAATTATGCAATGAAAAAAGCTGGGAAAGGCAAGCGGTGCCACACTTCAGCTGGGGGAATAAAAACATAACAAATTACCTCAATCGTCTTTCCATTAGACGCTGTGACAATATCTCCAGGTCTCATACCGGTTCCACTGATCATATTCTCACAAGCTGCAACAATGAAGTGAACCTACAAGCACATCATATAAGGCCCTCCATCTTTAATCATTACCATGCTCTAGAGGCTCTTAGCTAGAAGAGATGCCGACTTGAATAAATATTCTAGTAAATCATTCAAGTAATTAGGTCACTCAATTCGAAGAAAGCAACAACAACAGGCAAAAACTTACTTCTACTCCAGCAGGCTTGATTTGACCCAGAGCCTTTGCTGCACCCAATACTGCAGCTGAACCGCCCATATCAAATTTCATGAGCTCAATTGAACATCCTGGCCCTGTCTTGATGTTGTAGCCACCACTGATGCAAAAAAGGACAAAAATCCATGATAAATGTGCACCCAACATTTCCTTATTGTACAACAATTGCGGCAACAAATTTGAGAACTTGAGTAAAGGTTGCATATATACCTGTCAAAAGTCAAACCCTTTCCAACTAAAGCTAGCTTAGTTTTAGCTGATCCACCCAGTGGCTTGTAGCATATGTGAATGAAATGTGGAGGATTTGCAGAAGCTGCAGCAACACCCAGATATGATCCCATCTTTAACTCTTTGCACTGCTCTACATCCAAGATTGTAGTTGTGAGAACATCACTATACAACGAAGCAATCCGTTTGGCCTCTTCTGCCATTACCGCTGAAATACAAAAGAACATTTATGACAAAGAAATCCACTTCAACAAAATCAAAAGAAACAAAAGAGATAAGGTAGAGACACTACGGTTGAACGTAATTGAAGCTAAAACACAATTTGAAAATATAAATGGTGATCTGGATCTCAGAAGTTTTAGAAGGAAAGAAAAGTATAAAAAAAGCAGAAACAAAGAAAGAAAAGTAACCAACCCGGAGTGAGTACGTTGGCTGGTGCATTAACAAGATTTTTGCCAAATATAACTGCAGAAGACACGAATTCTGCATATTTGAGTTTCTTTTCTATCTCAGGCCCTGTTCCAAAACCAAGAATGTCCACAGATTTCAAAGTTGGTTTCTTGGACTCTGACTTGAACCTACTATCTTCATATGTCCCCAGCACAGTACCTAGAGATGAAACATTCGACAATTAAAGACTTGTATGTGCTGCAACTTACAAGGACACACCATAATTTGAAATTAAATGTACCAGATGCAATAGCCGAAACACTTCTAAGCTTCAAATCTGCAGAAAGCAACTCAGAGGAAGCGAGTGCAATGGCAACACTGGCTGCTTGAGAAGCCTTAGCAGCTGCAGCAACACTCTCACCAAGACTGCGATAAGCAATGGCGGGAGATGCAGCAGATCCTAGCCCTACCAAACTGACCCTCTTAGAGCCAAGGCCAGCAAATCTAAGAGTTGTCGACTGGCCTGCCTTTCCAGTGAAGTCCTCCTCAGAAGATGTCTCAGACAACAAGCCACCTACTTGAGAGTCTAGCTTTTGCAAAATTGAATTCTGGAACTTATTCCCATCCTTTGCCATGTCTTTCTCTGTAACACCTACAGCGAGTATGTCTCCCTTCCATTCTGCTAAATCAATTTCTTTTGCCACAAAGGAGATCTTCAAGACATTCAATGTACACAAAATTTGATATCAGAATCATACTTAGAAATTAGATGAACAAGCCTACCAAAGAATTACAACAAAAAAATCCATCTACAAACAGGAGACTCAAAGCAGCTTTGAAGTTACAATCTCGACCTTTTAAAAAAAGGCCAAATAGCTACACATGTATACTGTATATGCATTACATAAATATGAGAAATTATGTAAATAGTATAGGTCAACCAGGAGGGGGAATTGATTGTGAATGCAACAATTTCAGAACAGGCTCAAGCTCGATGCATCAAAGGACCAAAATCCCATAATACTAAACCCCATTACAGAATCAAGTCAGCTTAATTCATCAAAATCGCAAATTAAAGAACGAACAAGTAGCAGGAAGGATCCTGACAGAAAATTCAATAAAGCACATTGACGATGACAACTAAAATTACAATAAAGGAGCTAAATTCAACCAAACCAATTGAAGTAAAAGAAAAAACCATCCCCAAATATTGATCATTTCAAATATACATCCACAGCTATAACGGAAACAACTCTAAGTTACAGTTAAACGATGAATTGAATTAGAAACCACCAAAGGAGAAAGAATCAAACCTTGGGGGCCTCAACTACATTGGCCTGAGTAAGGCCAAGGGTGGCCTTGGCTATGGAGTGGGCCATACGTCTCGCCCTTCTCGAACACAACAACGGAGCTACGGAAACGGATAAACCCCAGATGGGTTTAGATCGAAACCTCGTAAAAAGCGAAGAACCACAGTACAAAGAAGTAGAAGTAGTGTAGGAAGTCGAAGCAATTAAGGTAAGAGAAGATGCTCTAATGGCGGCCATTCGGGAAGGGGGGAGGCCTAATCCTATTTATAGTGGCGTATGTACAGCCCACCTCTTCATCTATCAATTCACTATTAGCAAAGCTAAAAGTGCAGTCCGAGTGTGTAACGTAAAAGGCCAGTGTGTGACTGTGTGTGTACACGTCACGTGGGGTCTATTTTGGCTCTTTGCTGAGCAATGGGGTCCAATCATGACGCTCTTGGTGAATTTGTTGTGTTTATTTTTTCTTTTCTTATCTTTTTGGGATTCTTTAATTTTGCAGAATAAATTGTTTTAAGTTATCCAATTGTCTTTTCTTATTTTTTTATAAAAAAAAAAAGGATATTTTCTTGATATTTTAGTTTGGATTTTTTTGCTTTAGATTGAGATTTTCGGTATTGCATGTCCAACGTCAAAAGGAATTTTTTATTAAAAAAAAGTTTTTTTTTTAAAAAAAAAAACAATCTTTAGGGGCCTCTTTAGAGAAAAAAAAAAAAAGCATGGGATATTATATTTAAAGGAAAAAAAAAAAAGTTAAGAAGCTAGAATACATAGTACTGCTGCTAATTGGAATGTCGTCCAATAGAGCAAAGGATTAATATTCTGTTGCTTCTCATTTTTCTTTCATAATTAGATGGTTTCAACCATTGACTCTTGAAGATTAATTTGAGTGATGAAAACGACTGATTTGCGAAGCAGATTAGGGTTTATAGTTTGAGTGTTCAATTGATGAACTGAGGTTCTTATTAATTGCTTGGTAATTATCAGACAGAGATTTCCTGTATTAAATGTGCTGTAAAAAGAACCAGCAATATGCTAATTGCTGCTATCCAAGGAATCTACAGCTAGATCCTCAAGTTTTAACTATGTATAAATTAACCCCGAAAGGATGACAAAATATGTGCAATTTTTACTATTAATTCGCTCACTGAAAAATGAAAATTAAGCACTGCTCTGATAAAAAAAATTAAATAAAATAAAAAGAAAAAGAAAAAGTGTTCATATTATCTTGTTTTTCATTCAGAGTCTTCGTCAGGGTTGGGAATTAGACAGGTAAAATTAGGAGTTTGGTCTGTATCTCATGTTTGTGAAATTTTTGGGTAAGGAAAAAAATTATAATCACAATGCACAATTTGTAAGGAAATATTATATTTGGGTAAGGAAATATAATCTCATGCTTTTCTGCAATTTGCTAATTAAATTAATTTCTCCATAAATATACTTTGATTCCAATATTTACAATTTGTAAAATACAATAATAAAAAAATACAATACTCTTTATTTTGAGTCTTACATCAAGTCTTCAACCATACAAAACCATAGTGATCTTTGACCATTATCATCTGTATCTAGTCTAATTATAATGAAGAATAAAAGAAATCATAAGGAAAAGAAAAAAAAAATTCACATACTATATACATGAAATCTTTGAGGAGTACTGTGGATAAAACCAAAAAAAAAAAAGTTAAAAATGAAATAAATCTTTTGAATAAAGGATACAGTTTTTCGAACAAATTTTACATGAAATTTTAGAGTTAATTCCGGGTTTATCTTTTGATGATACTATTAGGATACAGTGTGTGTGTGTGTGTGTTTTTTTTTTTTTCTTTTGATTAATTAGATTGCCAAATTCCCAAGTTGTCCAAATTCAAGTAAAACTAGGAAACGAACGCCACCGACCTTAACGTGGCCTATATAAACCAAGTTCACCTCTGCTTTTGCACAAGATTTATCTCTCGCTCTCTCTCTCTATTCCGATAAGCTCGCAATTTGGAAACTTCCAAACCGATTCTAAGAGAGAAATTAAGGGCTACTAGTTGTGATGGCGCTCTCTGAGGATGTCAAGAAAGCTGTGGATGAGGAGGTCGACGGCGGTCGGAGTCTGGCGGTGGACGACGACGAGGGTGAGCAGCGCAACCCTGTGAAGCGGCTCAAACTGATGTTCCGCGTTGCTGATGATGGTGTCTCAAGATTCCGGATCGGAAATCCGCAAACCACGCCCGGTTCTGAGATTCATGGGCAGCGTAGGATTGTGATTAGAGAGAGAGTTGCAGAAACAGCGTCCGGTTCTGAGAGACGTCCTCCCAGAAAGGTGATCACCATTAGAAGAAGAGTTGCGGAAACAATGTCCAATCCTCGGAGACGTGGGGGACAGGTGATCATTATTCGAAACAGACTTCCACGAGTTCCAGCCGATGCCACCCTTTTGGCATTGTGTTTCTGACCTAGTTGTTCTTCAAATTGTAATTGATGAATTTGGACAAAAGGAAATCCAATTCATGTGTTTGTCGGAAATCTCTTCTTTCATCGAACAAAAACAGATTGATTTGGCGTTTTGATTATCCTAGCATTCTTCCAGGATGCTTACAATGTTATTGTTTTGCTTTAGATATGTGATTGTTTTGTTTTCTCTAAGCATATTTCTTGTTTCACCTAGTGGACTAGTTTTCTTTTGTGATACAAAACCGAGAGAAAACTCAATGAAATCAAATCACTAACTAGAACAAAAAAAAATTCATTAGGGTTGTTGATCCAGGTATCCGATATTCCACAAGTGTGCTAATCATTTACGCGGTAAACAAATATAAAACATTCGCCCGCTTTGTGCCCATGGAGATGCGATTACTAAGGGAGAAATAGAAAAACAGTTCTGAAGATTAACTATGCTTCCCATGACGCAAAAATTTAGCAGGAGCATGTTGTTCCAACCAAAGATCTACAACAGCAACTGCAGTCCATTATATGATCTGGAAATGACATCTGAAAAGTGTCATAAGGAAACAAAGAGTCAGCAACAAAACATTGAGGACAAATGACAATACATGAACGTTAAAATTACATACAGGAGTACACTTAACTCTTGCAAGAACCCAAAACCTAGATGGCCACAATTTCTAATTAGATAAAAAGTAAGGCAGGAAGAAAAGAGATGATGGGGCCAGACATGAGAAAGTTAGTCAAGCTCAGTTTGACAAATCCTCTAAACACCCATTGCCTCGGTTCTTTTTCCTAAAAAGTCCATAATTATAATGCAGCTAGTCCGGCTGCTGTTTCCAGACTCACTCTATGCGAATCTGGCTGATGGCGGACAGTTGGGAAAAAATAATATAGGCTATATGTGACTCAGCAGAATAAACCTTTCGTTCACAAATATAAAAGAAAAAAAGCATCTGCAATTCTGTTTGAAGTGATGGCACTAAAATCATGCTCGAATAGGTTATGAAAAGATCCATCTTTAGATGCAAAACGCCAAAACGCTGCATAAGTCCTAAAGAAAGTGGATATCAAAGAAACTTCTATAGGCTGGTCAATAGGGAACCAAGAAAGTGTCTTGATCACAAAAAGCAGGAGTGCATAGAAGGATAAAGCTTGACTTACTAAACAAATAACTCAAGCAAAGAGATAAACTATCCAGAAACATAGACAAGTCCAGGAGCATGAATATGGAAAAAAAAAAAAAGCATACCCCATAAGGCCACGTCCCTGCCAGGCTCTTGGTGTCACTGTTAAGTTGACTTTAGCTCCCTGCCTCAAGATCAGCATTGGAACTGCATGCCCTTGATTCGACTGCACTTCAGCAGCAAGTCTTTGCAATAGATTTTCACCATATTCTACAGTCCCGAACTTCAGAACTTGATCCCCAAGTTGCAAGCCATCTTCTGCAGCTGGTGATGCTTCGGATATTTCATCAACCATAGCAAAGGGTCTGCTCACAATGACATCAAAATTAAAAGCACTTGCAGGAGCGTTTGTGGAATAAGTCCCAGAAGGGGCCAAATCAGTAGTACCAGCATCACCTGAAAAAGAACACAATGTTGTTTGCCAAGTTGCTAGAAGGCAATTGCACAATAGGAGAAGCTGCACAAACCGGCACTAAAAAGGGACAAAATTAAACAAGTATAGGTAGTACCACATCCGCATACAGCAAATATCCCCAGAAATATACACCAATTATATTCCAGTATCCATTTCTTTGTAAGATATGCAATGCATTCAGATGTCAAGATTGCCGAGGAACTATTTAATTCCAAATCATTGCAGACACAAATTCAGATTTGTTCGACATGTTTACAGTAATTAAACTAACTAAAGCAACAAAGTATTGAAAAATTGAAAGCAGCGCACCTGTCTCTTTACTTGCCGAAGTAAGCCTTGCGGAATGCAAGACTTGAATGTTCTGGTTTATTTTCTCCGTGATATCTTTGTGGTCATTACGCAGCACTGTAAAAATTAGAAACAAAAAGTGTTCAGTTAATACGGATGCTAAGTAGGGAACTGCAGTAGCACCTTATAATTTGTGTTGCTATAGGATGCAAGCTAGTAAGTTATCAACATGTAGAAATTCAACAGAGTTTCCAGTTTAGATTGAAGTCTTTTCCCAGGGGTCCGAGACAGAAGATGATAAATACAAAGTTGTGTATTTCAAACATCAAGGACCAAAGACTACAGGAAGCATTCAACAGTGAAAAGGAAGGGTCCTTTTTTCCCTTTCTACTCCAAAAGAAATAAAACCAGAAACACATGGAACTTCACTACTTCAGCCATGTGTCTCTTTTATACATTAATTTTGGCCTTCATAAGAACAATTTGAGCTTTTAACTTAACAGTACCTAAAATTATATTCATATCCATGGATGTTAACAATGCAAGGACAGGAGGTGGGGGGTGGAGAAAGGAGCAAGGATATAGCATGAGACACCTTTTACATATACAGATGATACTAATTTAGATTATAAACTAGGACAGTAAAGGATAAGCTCATTCGTTATCTGAGTTTTGCTATCATTTTCATCGAGGGAAACATCAATACAACGTTCTGAATTGAAGCTATGAAAATTCAAGCTACTCAAAGTCATACAAAAGAACATATGTTCAAAGGAAGTTAAACCAACTAAAATAACATCAACGAAGGAAGAGCAGATGATAATAAATTCCAATTCGGATTCATCATTTGACATTCAATACATATTATGAAACCCCATATGCTTTACTTAGAAAAATCACTTAACCAAACAATATACAACATCAGAAACCTTTCTGTAATATCAAAACAATCCACCAGCAGAACAGAATCTCAAAGTACAATTTGCAAACGGTATCATCTGTGTTTCATACATACCAGAAAGCCTGAGACGATCAGCTCTCACAGAAGGAATATCAATATCAGACCTGGGAAATCCCTGTACAAAGCAAATCCAGTCTTAAATCAACCATGAAAAGCCTCAAGCCGCAGACGTTCAATTTATTCATCCACATTCATGCCTAGCCTAAACTTTTGCCCAGTTCAAATAAACTCACCACTAAAAAATCATTCAAAAATTACTACCAGCTGGTATGGCTATTTTCCAGTAAACAAACAACGTACAACTAAAACCCGCCGCCAAGGCCACCTAAAACCTCAAACCCGCAACTTAATTCAATCTATTTACACAATCATAAGCAAAACTTACAAAAAGTTTCAAGAAAATAAACAAAGAAATAAAAAGCAGGAGCAAAGAGAATCGAAGCATACCTCAGAATCAACAAGGTTTCCGGAAAGGCCAGGACCGCCGGGCTGGGTGAGACGTTCGATAATGACGTTCATTTCAGCCTCCAATCCGCTCCTCTGCTCCATTAGCTTCATTGTGTCTGCTTTCAAGTTCGTGCCCACCATTCTCTTGATTTCGTAACTTTGAATCACTTCCTTTTCGATTACTGATTAGTTTATGTGTCTCGGGAATTAGAAATTAGGGTTTCTTCCGTGGAAGTAACAAATTTGTCCGGTGGCTTGTGGAGGAGGAAAGGTTGTTGAAGCGGTGGACCGACCACTGATAATCGAGTTAAAAGAGCGAACCGATCTAACTTGGCGTAACCAAAAGGCTCATTGATTCGAGAGTCTTGGAAATCCGGGTTCGGGTTTGGTCAGGTGGTGTTTGGAATTTGTTAACACTGTTTTTTATTACCTCTTTCTCAAAAAAATAATTTAAGTTAATTTGAGTTTTGTGTTAAAATGTCAAAATTCAATGTTAACTGGTACTCCATGCGTTTCATAATTATTGTCCAATTTGAGTTTTATTTATAGTTCAAATTATACTAAAAGTGAAATCTCAAACTGGACAATAATTTTGAAACAGAAAGAGTATTTTTTTTAGCACACATTTTTATAGTTTGAATTAAAAAATACACGCTAATATATATATATATATATAATATTGTAATATGTGTATATATATATATATATATATATTCTAAAGAGAGACTTACTTACAGCTTACCCATTCCAATACTTTACAGTTATTAGTAATATTGTAATTATATTTCCAAAATAATAATAATAATAATGTAATTTTCTACACCAAAAAAAAAATAATATTCTAATTTTTCTTTGCAAAAAAATTTCATGAAACACAAACATTTCTTTTGAGTTATGAAAGATGATAAGCGAAAAAAACTGATATAATATGAAGTGACAAAATAATCAATCATTATCTTAATAAAAAGTTTAGTTTAATTAGAGACGGATGCTTTTGTAACATACGCGTGGAAACGAAAGTCTCAATACTAAAAACTATGATCCTCTTAAATTATTCGATTCTCCTAAATTACATGATGTCGTGACTAGTGAAAAGCATGTTAAACATTAAAAAAAATCGCCTATTATTGAAATTTTTAATTTTGTATGACGAATTAGAAAAACATACAATCTAATATAAATCATAACATATGTTAGTAATATGTTTGTATTCAATATTTCATTGAACGTTACATTCTCACTTATTTTATTTTATCCATTTTCTTTTAACACTTCTTCCATGTTATTTTTATTTATTTATTTATTTATTTTTACCTTGGTTGGAGTTGGACAAGCACCCAAGCAATAAAAGACAAGACAATGTGAAAATAGTCAAACTCACACCTCATCACCTTAAAAAAAAAAAAAAAAAAAATTACACTCATCATCAGTCATCCTCTCTCCTGTTCATGATTTTTCTAGTGCAATTGTGTCATCTCCTCCTCTCACATCAATTAATTCTCTCTTTTCTCATGAATGAAATTCTCTCCACTTCAATGATGAGCTGAGTGAAGAAATATGCAAGTGATGCAAACTCCATTCTCAGATCAAACCCATACTTCCACAGTTTCCAACATTTTGTTCAAGTCTCCATCTTTTTTTTACAGACTTTAAAGTGGGGAAGAGAAGACAAGATGGCAACTTTATGCCAAAATTTACAGTCACGGTTGAACTAGAATATTAACATCATGACTGTCATCTGTTGGTATGATAAAGCATTGAAAAGATGAAACCTGGTTTTCAATTCCTGGCAAAAAAAAAAAAAAAAAGAAGTCTCCCAAAAAGGGTTGGAAAGATTAAAGAAAAAAACGGAAGTGGAGGAATCTCTCTTTTTTTCTGCAAGCCTCATTATTATTCTAATGCCTTTCTTGGTTAACTATGAAACTACACAGTGACAGCTGTCGGCTAATGCTTATTTTACACTACCTGTAAGTGCAAATTTTATAGTATTAGTATTATTATATGTTTATTATCTCTCTACGTCTATGCAAATCTTGCCCATGACTCAAAAAGTGATAATGTTTTTAGACTATGTGGGATTGCTTCTGTTCAAATTTTAAGAGGTGGGTTTTTGTGGGGTTTGAATTTTGAAACGAAAATCTTTTTGTTTGGTGGGTTTAAGAGAGTGGAAACGGGATGCATTTCTTGAGGAGGGTGAGTATTTCATGAGCAAAACAGAAGTTTGATTCTTTGTTGTTCTTTTATCTGTTTTGGGGTTTTGAAGAAGGGAATGATTGTGGTGTTTTTAGACCGGGAAATGTGGGTTGTTTATGTTTAGGATTCCGGTACTCTGAGAATTGCACCAATTCCAGTACCTAATGAGGTTGTACTATTGTCATTCTCAGTAGTTGAATCTCTGGTATTCGGTTTTTTTTAGTAGTAATTTGATAATGGACAAAATGATGGGTAGAATTGGTTGTTTTTGAGCATTTGGGGGCAATCGAATTCCGCAATTTGAAGAATTGCAGTGAGGTTCTTGTGCAATTGTGGTATCTAATTCAATGTCAGGAGCTCCAAGGGTAAGCCAAATGAATGTGGGAGATTCCGAGTTAAGGTCTGTCCTTGGACCAGCTGGGAACAAGGATCAGAAGTCACTGAAGTCGAGAAAACCTGTTTCTAAGCCTTGGGAGAAAGCAGAAAAGTCAACTAAGGAAGTTCAGGTTGTGGAAGATAAGAATGGCCTAGCACCATCAATTTCTTTTGATGATTTATCATCTCCCTTGGATTCAATACTTCACAGACAGGAGTCATTCTTGCAATCTAGTTTGTCCCTCAGTGCTTCATGTTCTTCTGATGCATCCACAGATTCGTTTCATAGTCGGGCATCAACTGGTAGGATTTACCGAACAAAAATTACCACTAGTAGGAAAAAGCTTTTGGCCTCAAAAGCAAAAGTAGGTAGTTCCAATGGTATTTCAGAATTACCATCTGATAGTTCAGAGCTCAAGAAAAGATGCGCCTGGGTGACACCCACTACTGGTAAGTCCTGTTCTGACCATTAAGTTGAATTTAAGCCTGTTTCATGTCCGAATGTTTTGTTATTTTGAAGTTAGTAAGTTCAATCAAAGTCATAAGACCTCTCTTTGATTCTTCACATGAAGCATATATTTGTTATCTTGAGGAACTCTAATGGTTTTAGTATTAGTGTTTGACTTTGACAACGCATGCACTGGAGTATGTTTCTGGTATAAATTAATTAGCACTTACAACCTTGCTACTCTCTGCATGTTGGACTCTGAATCTTTTCAGAAGTGAAGCACATTTGCCTCTAAATGTGCAAATGTATGATCTCTAAATGTGTGCACCATGGTTATAAGACAAATATCTAATTGGACTCTGTTTGTATATATCTTGCTGAGTCCTTCTGTTGCACCATCAGCTTGTATGGACTGTGATATACTGATCAGAGCACTGTATCATTTGTTAGCTATGTACTCAGATGCCGCGTTTTCATTGTTCAACTAGTAGAAGAGAACCACATTCCCTGCTTTTAGTCTTTGATATTAGAACTCTAGGGCATTAGTCTAGACTAATATGAAAAGTTTTGATTCCCTCTGTTTAATTGAAGACCTCTTTTTATCACAAAGAAAATGAGAAAAACAAAAAAATTAACAAAGATAATAACTTGAAGCTTCACAAATAGTAAGTTATTGTTAAATCTTTTTCACATAAAATTGTTTGATCTTTAATAATATTCTTGAGATCATCAGGCTCAAACAATGGCGATAAACAGAAGTTGACTTTCCTTTCTAGTTTGAGGTGGGAATTATTTGAGGTATTGGTGGAGGTAGTGGAAGTAGGGAGAGGGAATCGTTGATTTTTGTTTTGAGGCAAACAATGATAGGCAGTGCTGTAAAACTAGTTCTTTGTTTCTCAGATTTAGTCATGGCTGCATGCTGCATCATCAGACATCAGCTAGACAGTGTAGCTTTTACATGTATGTTATGGTTCTCTCTTTGCTTACTAGCTTCCATTTGCTTAGACAGATCCCTTATATGCTACTTTTCATGATGAAGAATGGGGAGTTCCAGCTCATGATGATAAGTAAGAACTAAATGGGATTTTATTGTTAATTTTTTTACCTGAAAAATTGGACTCTGAAAATTCTGTTCTCTCTTTGCCGCAGGAATTTATTTGAGCTGCTAGTACTTTGTAGTGCTCTATCTGAACTTACATGGCCTTGTATTCTCAGCAAAAGGCACAAATTTAGGTAACTTAACCACTGATGTGTTTAATTTCTAATAATCCAAAGCACATACTTTATAAGAGTTATGCTGCATGCTTTTAAGTTGGTAGATATTGATGTTTTATTGAAGGTGAACCTATCATATCTTATGTTAATATTTAATATATCTCTGTGCAGGGAAGTTTTTGCAGATTTTGATCCTACTGTAGTTGCGAAATTGAATGAAAAGAAAATCATAACACCTGGAAGCACTGCCAGCTCATTATTGTCGGAGCTTCGATTGCGAGCTGTGCTTGAAAATGCTCGTCAAGTATCCAAGGTACATTGTGTTTTGGCATAACTTATCCAATCTTTATTGCATCTGCTGACTTGGTTCATTAGCTCGCTACTAGGTTCATTATGCAAACTTGGATTTGAGAAATTCTGACCATGGCTTTGAGTAAGCCAATAAAATTCCACATCTGTGTAAATATTGCATTTGGCATTAATCTTTCAGGGCAGAAAATGATGGCTGCCTTGTCTTTTCGGGTTCCTCATACGGTAGGTGGGGACATAATATTATAGTCATGCTGGATTCAAAATGACATATGGCAAATCATTTCTGCATTTAGATCTTAATAGCTTAAAATGGCATTTCTTATTTGGTACATCTCTCCCCATTTGTACTAGATGCTATATTGATGAAATGAATTATTTGCCTCCAAACCAAACTTCTTCATGTAGTAAATGAACTACAGTTCATTACTCTTATTGCCTGGGTTGCTGCAACTAACCTTGTAAATGTCTTTCTGGTGTCAGGTAATTGATGAATTTGGGTCATTTGACAAGTATATTTGGAGCTTTGTGAACCACAGACCTTTAGTAAGTAGATTCCGATATCCCCGCCAGATACCAGTGAAGACCCCAAAAGCGGAAGTCATAAGCAAGGACCTAATGAGAAGAGGTTTCAGGGGTGTGGGGCCAACAGTTGTCTACTCATTTATGCAGGTTGCTGGTTTAACAAATGACCATCTAGTTGGTTGCTTCAGATTCCAGGACTGCATCACAGCTTCAGAAGGCAAAGAGGAAGCAGCCACTAAGGATATACTACACGAAAAGAAAGTCAATGCCGTTGATAAATCCAAACTGTGTAGATCAATGGACGAGCTGAGTATATCATCAGAGTGATCTACTTCAGCTATGTTCCAATCATCTGTACATGCTTGCAGCAAGCATGTTTCTGCGGTAAAGCATTTGTTGTTGTAGTTCCGTGCAAAGACCATTTTGTGTATAGTATGCCGATTAGGTCCGTAATTCTAGATTTCGTGGATCAGATGTGTATCAACTCCAACTATGATGGAAATCTAAATGTAGCATTTTTCAATCAGCAGGAAAGCCTGGTTGAGTTGTTCATATCTGAATATTGTTGGGAAGTTGGCCATGAATGACAGGGTGGTACATACACCAGCTACCAAACCTAGTACGTATTGTGGGTTGCTGAGCTGTGGTGACTGGTAACAAAGAAATACTGCATTGGTCGTAAGGTTGTTATGTTGTACATAGAAAGAATGCCTAGCTAACATGTTCAGGTTAGTTATGTGACAACGATAGCCGTTAACACTTTGTTGGAGTCGGTTGCAATCCTTATAATGTCATTCAATGTCAAGTGAGGAACTTCGGAGATGATTTTATGTTGGAACTTTTTGAGTACTACTTGTGTTGGGTTAGTAAAATGCCGAGTTCTATATAGTATAAATAAACTCTCATGTGGTTGAATTTAGGGTGCCAAGTGCCGACATAAAGGATTAAGGCACCCATGCTTAAGAGCGTAAACATAAATTATGCTTGTTGCCTGACTCTTATTTTTGGTCCCTAACCACCACAACAAACGTTTTGAAAACACTTGGGCATCATAATTACCCTTTGTATATAGCGGGCCTACGTTTGTCTATAACTCTATTTCACATTTCACGATCTCCATGTAAATATACACCTTTTCTGCTTCTCTTTTTTGTTCATCCTCGTGTTTTGATTAGATACCGACTGAACCAGCATGATCTCTTCTTAGCTATGCCAGACCAGAGAACTGCACATGAAGACAAAAGACCCTGGGAATTCTTCTTCTTTTTTTTTTTCCTGATGAAAAGGCCTGGGAATTCTTCAGATTGCAATATCTGTCATCTCCTATCACACAAAAGCAAAGGTTGTAGCAGCCTCATTATGATAAAATTATGCTGAGTAACTTTTTCTCCGAGAGTTACTGAAGTCTCTCGGCTAAATCAACCATATCTGTCACCTTATCAAAATACAAAGTAAATGCACAAGCATGACCATTCTGAAATGCAATCACAAAGGCTTCATAGTTATACGTATGACACTGGAAACTAGTATCATGTATCCCAAAGAAATTCACACCACCACAGGAATAAATTCAAATATCTCAATCATCGTTGAATCCCTTGACCGGTCTGAATCTGACAGGGAAGTTATTTAGAGCAAACATTCCGGGGTCTACAGATATCAGAATGCTCCAGTTAGCATACATCCATTGGATCTGAATCTGAAGCTCTTTTTGTTAATCAATTCCACTTAAGATTAATTAAGGCACACTAATGTACAGGACCAAATAGCCGAAGCTTCCACTCTGCTATCAATCTATCTCAACTATGAAAAGGGCCATAACACTACCAAGAAGAATTGAACATATCTATAAGCCTACAGGAAACAGCAACTTGCGGGAATAATAAAAAAGTTAAAGAAACTATCTTATTAAATTAAGGAAGATGCTCTTTCTTCACGTCATTTCATTTTCCCACCAATGATCAATCTGAACACAATTTCAGCGAGGCTTGATTTCAAACCCAATACTTAAAAGCGTTTTTGTAGAGTCCACAGCCTTCTCAGCTCCGCATTCTACTGTCTGACTTTTCAACTCACCTTTACAATCTACTGACCGCTGGATTACAGATTCATGATTCTGTACATGTTCAGGTTTCGTCACCGGCATAGCGTTCATTGAAGTAGGAGCAGCAGCAGCGACTACAGGAGCACTAGGTGGACCAAGACGCTTCTTTGGGACTGGCATGTCATGATTATGGACGCCCCTGTAAGCTATTATTGAAGCATTGGAATTGTCTTTAGCCATCTCAATGTGCTTTCGAACCGGACACCCAGCTGAAGTACATCTATAGTAGTTCCTGAAATACGTTAACAAAATCTGTAAGTACACCTATAGTAGTCGATCTATAGAATTTAATGCAGCTTTTCGAAGCAAAACATAAACAGGTAGTCAGAGTCTTCAAGCACCAGTTATTTCTTCACAGTATCATAAGAGAGTTCCGTGTTTTCAATTTTGAAAAAAATATCAAGAACAAGTAAAATCCTGCAAACCCAAAATCTGAATTTCAGCAAGATTGATACATACTGTAAATGAACCATGAGATGTGTTTAACTGTCTGCGTCACTACAACTATGCACGTAGGACACATTGATGATATCATGAATCAACATTATGCAGATAAAAAGGGGGCAGTTTCTTTCAGGATTCTCCCAATTATCTAGGAACAGAGAAAATTCAAGGGAGCATTTGCATGCTCTATGGCAGGGATAATCTGAAACAACAAAGAAGGAAATCCTTATTTTTCAAGTAAGATGGTAAAGTGTGAGTGCCTCTTAGTTAAAAGAATACGTTAATGGGGACCAATGTCATTCCATCAGGGTTAAATTTAAACTCCATTAATATCAGCACGTTCTCTAAAATGGTACAAAATACACATGTGCAAGGAAAAGAAATGTCGACGTTCACAAGTCAAGTGAAAATAAAACTTCACCTTGGATGAGGGTTCCCCTTCACCATCTTTTGTCCATACTTGCGCCACCTATAGCCATCTCCTGATATTCCTACATCACCAGCAGCAAGGACAACAAATTTCTCTTTTTTGCCAGCTTTCGGTGGAGATCCAGAGCAGCTTGAGCCAGTTTTCTTCAACCTGGAAACAATTAGAACTACACATTAACAGCTTTTAAGCCACCTGCTAACAAGCTAACATGCAATAAATAAGCAAAATACCTTTTTCTTGGTTCAGGTGCATCATCATGATCCTCCTTGACATCAGTTTCAGCAATATCCTGCGGCTGACTAGATTCCTTCTGTTTGGATTCTGGGGCAGTTGCTGTTTCATTAACAGAATCTACAGAAGTTGATGGAACAGAATCCGCAGTAGGACTCACTAAAGAGTCAATTCCATTTACAGGTGCTATTGGTGAAGCAAGCTTGCTTCCTCTTGAGGAATTTACTTTCTGAGGAGGATCATGGCTGTGATGACTTTTATAAACAATTTCCATGACACGATTAGATTGATCAGAACATTCAATCTTCTTAGCATAGCAGTCGGCATGAGTGCATCTGTAATAGCTACGAGAGCCTAGAGGGCTCTTTACTTGCTTTTGACCATACTTTCGCCAGTTATAGCCATCAGGGGATGTTGCTCTTTGAACAGATACAATAGCCAATTTCTCTGTGTCAGAGGAATTCCTTTTTTCCATCTCTTGGATGTGAGAGATGCTTCTTTTCTGAACAGTTGAAATATTTTGTTCTGCTGGAGCTGGACTCGGTATTGATGAAGTAAACTGAGTAACAGAAGTTGGGGATAACTCCGATGATCGTGTGCCATTAGGTACCTCTTCCACTTTTTGAGTCTGTACTTGTACAGTTTTCTCTGCATTACTTTCTGGCGCTTCTTTATTGGATAAAGTAAGTCGCTTCTGAAACTTAAAACAGAGTATTGATTTGTCAGCTTCTACTGGTAGCACATGCAAAGCTATTTAATTCCATGTCAAAAGAAAAGATGGGTAAATTGCATGACTGAAGTGCCTCTAACATTTTAAACTTGAATCAGAAGACAAGAGCAGGATCACAGCAACAGCGAAAGATTTTAAAGCAGATCATATATGTATAGTGTTTTTCTTTTTTCTCCTCTTTTTGAAATTAATATGTTGAACTTTGTTACTTTGTCACTTTTGCCACTCCCGTTGGTAATCTAAACTCCCCATATTCATAGCCTCTGAAGGAATCTTATCAGAGTACATTCAACTTTTGCTTAGTTCAAATAGTTTCTATCTAGTGAGCTCCTGAAACCGCCAATGATTACTCACTCAAGTGAGATTCTAGATAAAACAGTTTAATTAGTTATTTCATTTTTCTAATCATGCCTGGCTCGTGGACACGTGATTAGGATCAAAGATCATCATAGAAGTTAAATATTAGATGCCTCCAAAAAACGAAACATCAAGAATTTTAAGAACATCCAGCTTAATTGGCAACCTAAGACCCAGTATCGACTGCAACTATGACAAGGACAATGGAAAACAATGATGATACAGGAAAGTTACTTAGTAACAGGATGCAAATTGGCCGAAGGCACTTCAATTTCAATATTTCAAAAGTAGCAAAAAGAGAAAAGTAACAGAGAGATACCAACCTTAAATTCTTTTGCAGATCCAAAGGGATGCAATTCATATTCAACTGGAACATCTGTATGACCATTTGCCAGAGCTCGTTAATGAATTCTTTCCATATAATTGCAATCAGTAGCCTTATCACAAGCATACATGCATACAGCTAAACATACGAAATTCAAAGACTCTCACAAGCACTCTAAAAAGGAGACACAATAGCGAAAATACTAAAAGGGCAGTTCTCTATGAATTTAGCACGCTGCAACAAGAACAATGAATAAGCCTTCAGCCCACTATATCGATCGCCTTTATGAATCATGCCGTCCTTTGTTGAAAACATTTGCCCAACATAGAATCAGAAAAAAACGCAGAAACAGTGAAAATACTAACGTATAAGTTCTGCCCAATTCCAGTGGGGGAAAAAACCATCTTTATGAATAGTGCCCAACATAGAATCTTTCTGAATTTGAAAGCAGAAAAAGGAAACATTAAACATGAAGGAGAAACCCCAATTCAAAAAAGGAAAACTTAGACACGCAGCTGGAAGGCAAAAAGCAGAAAACAGCTAAACAAAAAGCGGAAAGCGAAAAAGAAAAACGACAAAAGTTACCGGAGAGATGATCAGTGGAGGTATCCATAGCTAGGGTTTGAGGTGCAGAAGAACCTCCAGAATCCATCTCAGCCGTTGCTGGGATCGAATTGTCCTTATCAGCTCCACTCACAGCTTCTCCACCATCATTCCCAGCACTTTCATCACTGCCACCATCTTCAGAATTTTCATCCAATTGTTCAGACAATTTTGAATTCTGAGCTCCTGGGTCTTCTTCTTCTTCCTCGGAGCTCTGCATATTCTTCATATTATTGGTGTTATTTTGGTGATTACTGTGGTCTTCGTCGTTGTTCATCACCTGATTGCAAGCTGCAGAAGAAGAACAGAAAAACACAGAGTCACGTAGTGAGTGCGTGTTAAGTTAAGGGTGGTGAGAGAGAGTGAGAAAGGGGAAAGGCAAAAATTTCTTCTTTTTGGAACGTATTTTTTTAATGCTATAAATTAATTAATTAATTAATCAATTATACCGTGAAGTGCGTATTAACTACATTTGTGTTGACGAAATTTTGACTCCTTTTAGTCGAGTCCTAACTCCTACGTTAATGTTTTTATATTAAAATTGAAATGAATGTTACTAACTTCTTTCTTTTTTTTTTTGGAAAAAAAATTGAAATTCAATTAAATTTTGTGTGTTTGTTTTTTTTTGTATACTGATAGAAAAGGTTTTGTAACAGAAAAGGTGACGTAATTGTTGCTATTGAGTTAATTTGCAGTTTTAGCTCTTTATGTTTGCACCTATGTTTAATTTGTTTAAACATTTGGTTTGATCGAGTCAAATCAAATGTAGACCTTGGTGTTTTTTTTTTTTGCTATTTCTAATCTGGATTAGATAGTTTAGCAACACTAATCAGTTACTAATTACGTTACTGAGTACTAATTAACAAAACCGAGACAACTATTTTTTTTTTATATTTGTCTATTTGCCAATTTCATAGTTACAAACAAAAAAGAAAAGAAGAAATTTTTTTTTCTAAAGAAGGAATTTTGAAAAAAAAAAAAAGACTCATCTTTTTTGTTTCATAAAAATAGTCAAGTTTACTGGACTAAAGTTAGTTCACTAAGGTAATTTGTGTGTCTTATCTGAACTAAAATTTGAAGAAATTGAAACTAAATACGAATTCAGTTAGATCCTTTATGCTATTCCAACGCGAATGGAAGAATACAATTCTTCCACTTAATATCTATAGTACTCCCTCCGGTCCTCAGCATTTTGATTTCGTCCTAAGTTTAACTTAAGATGTCTTTTTAATTAGAATAAAAATCTTAAAAATATTTCATAATATTTAGAAGAACATAACGAATGTGAAAAAATATTTTTAAATTTTTTTTAAAAATCAAAATGTCTAATAGTAAGAACCGGAGGAAGTACGTCTTTGGGATTCAGCTGTTTCAATTCACATTTTCGGAAAAAAAAAAAAACTGTTTCAATTCATACTGTGTGTATTTTTTTGGAATATAACAAGTAGGTAGTTTGAAATTGACTGCAATATTCCTTCACATTAATATTTAATATTAATAATAATGTCTGCAGTAGTAACACTAATTTTAGTAGAACTGTAGAAACTCTGAAATTAGGTCAATCACGAAAAGGACAATGCATGTTTGTATCAGCCAATAATAGTTTGGTGGGACAGGTGGCGTCACCTGAGGAAGCATCAGAAGCAAAATCGTTGGTCCAACGTTGACGATTTTTTTTTAATTTAGCTTGAATTTTAGATGCATAATAATAAAAAAATGAAATCGTGGAGAAATAATAATTCCATATACGAAAAGGAAAGAAAAAAATAGAAAAAAAAAGAAGAAAAAAAACTCGTGGGCAACTGCATGACACATCATTCCAAACACACACACACACACACACACACACAGTATTAGCGAAAAGAGTAGCAGCAGAATCACTGGATTCAGCAACCAGAGTCTTCGTCTTCTTCGCCCAGAAATTCTCGCCCGCCTTCCCTTCCAATTGTTGATTCTTAAAGTTCAATACGAACTCAACTTTTGGGTTAATGCGGGAACCACTTCTAATCCCAGGTTTTTCTTTTCTTCTTTTTTCTTTGTTTTTGGGTATCCAACTATGAATTTCTAGTGAGGGTTTATAGGTATATTGTTAAAGGGTTTTACCGTTTATGGTATCTTCTGTTTATATGTAGAAGTTTGGAATTTGCAGTGAGATATTTAATGCTTTGTGGAATTTGTGGCGAGCTGTTGGGTTGTGATTGAGAAGTCTACTGGGTTTTAGTTTGATTCAATTGGTAATTTATTGCATTTCCTGGAGTTTGTTATGGTTAAAAAAATTAAGGGGCTTTTCTTTTAATCAATTACTCTGAAAGTGCATCATATTTGATTAAATTCATATCGATGACTGATGTCTATTGCTGCTGATTTAACCCGGAAAAGGAAATCAGTGGAGTTGGTAAATGTAACTCTGAATTCTGGAGAGGTCATGTAGGCTCCGAAAGAAGTCCCAATTGGTTTCTTCTCCTCAATCATTAGAAGAATATGGTGACTAGTTTAATGTTTCCTTTGTTTTGGAATTAACCTTAGGCTTTGATCCCTCTTTATTAAGGTTTTAGTGGGTAGAAGTCCTGCTTACTAGGTTTCTTTACAGATTATTTAGGGCCGTCCAATACATATTCTAATTTTATAAAATTGATAGGTTGGTGATGTAATTGCACTTTGAAATGCTCAAGTATTAAATTGTGATTTCCTAAGTTCTTCATAAGTTTCACACTTCACGTTTTACGCACTCTTTTGCTTGTCGCCTCTTGTAATTGGGTTTATGTAGGAACTTCGAGTTAATTATCCTTTGAAGGATAATTAGTGCCCATGTTGGGGGTAAATTTTTAGCGTTGTCTCTAGCCCACAACAATTTCCTTTGTTTCTTCTGATCAATCACCAGTTCCAATTTGGCAACTGTTGTGCTTGTAGAGCATTACTGATCAAGACAATTGTTCCATCTTAGGGGAAGGAATGGAGGAGGCACCAACAAAACCACCACAATCACTAGGGGATAAAATTTCTGCATATAAGACCATGGCTTCGGAAGTATATAGTAGTAAACCTATATCCCACTGGATTCTACTTATTTTAAGTAGTGGAGCCATGCTTGTGGCTTTTCCTGCTTCTAGTCTCCTTTCGCGTCTTTATTACTCCAATGGAGGCAAGAGCAAATGGTTAATTTCATGGGTGGCAGTTGCAGGGTGGCCTATTCCAGCACTCATCTTAGTTCCTTCATATTTCATTCTTGGAGTCTACCCTACTCCCCTGAACTTTCAACTCACTCTATCCTATGCCTTATTGGGTTTCCTGAGTGCTGCCGACAATCTCATGTATGCATATGCTTACGCATACCTACCTGCATCCACTGCTTCTCTGTTGGCATCAACGGCACTAGTGTTTTCAACACTTTTTGGGTATCTTATTGTTAAAAACAAAATCAATGCTTCGATTATAAATGCCATTGTGATCATTACTGCTGCAATGGCCATCATTGCTCTGGATTCTGAATCTGATAGATATGGAAACATCACTGACACTCAGTATGCTATTGGTTTTATACTGGATATTTTGGGGTCTGCTCTTCACGGGCTTATTTTTGCTCTTTCGGAATTGGTTTTTGTAAAATATCTTGGAAGAATATCATTTCATGTTGTTTTGGAGCAGCAAGTGATGGTTTCCTTGTTTGGATTTCTTTTCACCACAATCGGTTGCCTTGTGAATAAAGACTTCCAGACAATGGGATCTGAGGCGCTCAGTTTTCAAGGGGGTAAAAGTTCTTACATCCTTGTCCTTGTTTGGGGAATAATTACATTTCAATTGGGAATTCTAGGAGCTACAGCTATCTTGTTCCTGGCATCCACTGTTTTTGCCGGTGTCCTGAACTCGATAAGAGTGCCTCTCACAAGTATTGCAGCCGTTATACTATTACATGACCCCATGAGTGGTTTCAAGATATTGTCTTTGGTAGTCACCTTCTGGGGCTTTGCTTGCTACATTTATGGGAATCGCTCAGTGACTAAAGAGACTAAAGAGACTACTTGATGCATGCATTTACCGCTTCCCTTCATCCAGATTGTGTAACATATATAGCGTCAGCTAGTCATAATCTTCTTCGCAAAGGCTCTGAAGTGCGAGTCCCTGGAAAACTGTGCTGCGAGATTCAATTTGTTTTTGTTTATACTGAAAAATATAAAAAAGAATAGAGAAATGATTCTATCAGCTCAAGGGATGGCGCAGTATGCATTTTCATTTGTACAGTAGTTGCTTTTATAGAAAGTTGAAATGCATATCATGATCTACAATGATTGTTTGGTTACCGGATCCTTTTGATATCCTTTTAGGGTCAGGTTGCAGTTACCAGTAATCATCATCAACGAGTACAGACACTCCCCATTAACGTCTTCCAATCTACTTCCAGTCTTCTGCTCTGAAATCAACCAAGTGCCTGAGAGCTGGAAGTAAACAAACACTCAATAATTCAGTTTGGACCAAGTAACATAATGCGCTGTAAGATGTAAACAACTGAGCAAATTGTCCTTCAAATTTATTTGTTAGTTATTTATTCCTTCTGCTAATATTTCCATTTTGATAACTTTTTGTTGAATTAAATTAAAATGCCATAATAAAGCGTATCATATCATCAAACTAAGAAATCATTTCAGCCGTGGCCAGCGATAGATCGTGTAACATTTTCTTTTACATATCTCTCTGTGTGATAAATTCCGGAAGTTGTGGTTTCTCTTCTTTCAATTACTTCTCCAGAGTTCAGGAGACCTAGACCATCACACTGCATTATCTAGATGGAGGACTTGTTGCCTTTTCCGTTCCCCTGAAAAATAATTTCTTTATTCTTCCACGGCTGATGATTCTTATCCTTTTGGGTAAGATGTCTTCATCTTCACGGAAAACTTAAGGCTGTTAAGTACCGACGATCAATGTTTCTGCTGAGATTTATGTCAAGTCTTGCATTTTACCAATGTCGTAGCAACTAGCAAGATACTATTTTTTTTTTTTTGGTTTTTTTTAATTAAAAGGGAAATAAAACTCATAATATACAGTATACTCTCTCTGGTCTTAATTATAAGTCATTTTGATTTCGTCCTAAGTTTAACTTAGGACGTCTTTTTAATTGGAAAAAAAAACCCTTAAAAATATATTTTTACATTCCTTGTGTTTTCTTAATTATTATGAAATGTTTTCAAGGTTTTTATTTCAATTAAAAAGACATTCTAGTTAAACCTAGGACGAAATCAAAATGCCTTATAATAAGGATCGGAGGGAATATATTAGTAAAACTTTTAGTTAAAAGATAATATTTCTTTTCTTTTGACTAAAAGTTTTAGTATATTTATGATACTATATCTCTAGTCAAGAACAAATCTTTTTTCAGGGGTGAAAGGTAAAAAGTTCTTAGGAGTAAATGTAATACATATATATATATATATATATATATATATATATATTCAAATCTAAAAGTTTTAGACCTTAATTGCTCTGTTCGTCCTTTACCCCTGTTTATCAGAAATATACATTTATAGTAAAGGAATTCTCGTTTATTGCCTCTTTTGTTTTCTGTTTTCTGTCCTCGCAGAATATGTTAATCGAACAAATGCGAATACGAATATTCAAGCAGTAGCCAATCGTCTTCGCGGAAAGTCTCAAGTTTAGATCAAATGGCATCAATTCAGGGAGAGATACTGATGGAAAGGCATAGAAGATACCGTTTTCCCCAAGGAAGGAAAAGGAAAAAAAAAAAAAAACTATATATATTTGGAATTTTGTACATGGGAAAAAGCTTGGTTCCGGATTTGGTAACACAACTTATACTAACGACTATTAAGCAACCAGATTGGTCTTATCATTGGCTTAAGGCCATCTTTTTCTTCATACGTGTAATCGGTCGCATCTCTATGTTTGGAGGGGATGGAGGTATTTTTTTCATTCCCGATCCGATTGCAATGGTGTTTTATTTTATTGGAGATCTCATCAGCCATATAAGAAGAAAATTGCATTTAGTACATGTTTCAGTATGATAGGTTTGATGTTGCTCAAAATACTTTCCATTTCTCCCAGCAGTTCTCTCTTCCCTCTCCCACTTTGAAATGAAAATCAGCAACGAGCTTGAAGAGAAGTAAACACACTCACCAATGGAGTTTGCACAAAGTGACATCAAGCAGGTTCTTAATGAATTAAGACGCCAAAACTAAAAACAAGTACCCCTTCGTCCTATAATTATTGTACAGTTTGAGTTTTAGTTTTAGTTCAAATTGTACTAAAAGTGAAATCTCAAATTGGACAATAATTTTAGGACAGAGGGAGTATAAACTTGTAAAAGCTAAACAATAGAACCTATACCACAAAACTAGAAAGAAATAGTAATACAAAATTGTAAGAGGTAAAGTAGCTGAGCCAATTAATTGTTCATGTAATGTTTATTCACTCCTTCCATCCAGAAAGACCATAACTCAATAATATACTTTATTGAACTGAAACAGTAATAATGAAATGAGACGCATGTGACCCATTTTTTTTATGATTTCTATGTTTTGTCCAATTAATTCAGACTTACCTTACCCAAACGTTTATCACATCCCAAATGAAATGAGGTGGGTTTTCGTAGAAGACCAAGCCCACAATAAGAATCATGTTTCTATATATATAATCCTTTTGTCATTGCCCTAACAGCGCTGGAAACCATTACCGCTGTAAAACATTTCTTACGATATTTGATGGAAAACATGATTTCACATCTCAGTCTGCTAAATTCCGGAAGTTGAGCTTCTCTTTACTTCTCCATACATATATATAGTTTAGGAGACCTTTGTTGAGCACTATCCGTTATCCAGGTGAAGGATCTGTTACACACTTTCTGGTTCACTAAACCTTATTTCTTTCACGGTTGATGACCCTCTTTTTAAGGCTAATGAGCTCCATGAATCTGATGATAAATGTATCTCTTGGGGAAAAAGAAGTTAGGGTTCATGTGAATTTGGGGAAAAATTTTGTATATTCGTCAAAACTGTTCATTCTGTACATTTTCTGATATATATACATTATTGACTAAGCCAACTGTCCTAAATATCCAGTATTTATAAGATGGTCCCTGTATTAACCAAACTATAACATCAACTATACAAAGAGTATAATGCTATACAATTACTATACAAAATGTATCATGTATCCCAGATATCTATGACTTCATTGGCCTGATTAGCTTCAACTCCGGATACATTCTGATTACTCAACACCCCCTCCTCAAGATGAGCTTGGGATAAGACCATTTTGCCAAGAAGCACATCAAACGTAGGAGAGGCAAGGGACTTGGTCAATAAATCTGCAAGCTGTTGAGACGAACTGATGTGATTAAGAGTGATGAATTCTTGTTTATAAAGGTCCCGGACTATATGGCAGTCGATGTCGATATGCTTGGTGCGCTCGTGGAAAATAGGGTTGGCTGAAACGTGAATGGCAGCCCTGTTGTCACACCAAAAAGCAATAGGCAAAAAAGGTTTAAGATGAAGATCATGAAGAACAAAAGTAATCCATTGAAGTTCTCGGGCTGTAACAACCATGGCCCTGTATTCTGCTTCAGTCGAGGAGCTTGATACCGTGGTCTGTTTCTTTGTCTTCCAGGAAACCAAGCAATCACCAAGAAAGATACAGAAACTAGTTAAAGAACGTCGAGTAAACTGGCAGCTACCCCAGTCAGCATCACTATATGTATGAGGTTGAAGTGAAGTACCACTGGGATAGAATAAACCCTTAGAAGAACAACCATCAAGATACTTGAGAACATGAACAGCAGCTTGCCAGTGAGACTGTAACGGAGCGTGTACAAATCGACTAAGCTGCTGGACGGTGTAGGCAAGGTCAGGGCGAGTGAAATTAAGGTACAACAATCGGCCTATCAACCGTCGATATTTGGCGGGGTCAGGAAAAGCAGGACTGGGATCTTTAGCCAAAAAACGAAAATATACTTATGCTAACAAACAATTGGCCTATCAACCGTCGATATTTGGGGGTAGAAACTGGATGACAGTCAAGCAATTCAGTATCACGCAGGATGTCAGTAATATACTTAAGCTGACAAACATAGATTCCAGTAGCAGATCTAGCGATTTCCATGCCTAAAAAGTATTTAGCCATACCAAGATCCTTTATAGTGAAAACCTCATCTAAAAAGGATTTAACCTTAACAAGCTGATATTCATCAGAACCAGTGAGCAAAACGTCATCGACGTAAACAAGAAGAAAAATCTGATAGTCAGGAGTGATCAGAGTAAAAAAGACAATGATCATTGACAAATTGTACAAATCCAAAATCAAGTAATTTGGAGGTAAACTCAGCATTCCACTGGCGAGAAGCTTGTTTAAGTCCGTAAAGAGATTTATTCAACTTGCATACTTGGCCAAGAAGAGCTTTATGATAACCAGGGGGAGGTAACATGTACACTTCTTCATTTTTAGACCCGTGAAGAAAAGCGTTATTTACATCGAGTTGATGTAAAGGCCAAGAGTAACTAGCAGCAATAGCAAACATGATTCGGACAGTTACAGATTTAGCTACAGGGGAAAAAATTTTAGAATAGTCCTCGCCTTCTACTTGGGTGTAACCCTTAACTACGAGTCTAGCCTTAAAACGATCAATACTTCCATCTGGTTTATATTTAACCCGATATACCCCTTTAGAACCAATTGGTTTCTTTCCTAAAGGCAAAGAAGTAAGCTCCCAGGTCTGATTACGTTCTAGGGCTTCTAATTCCTGATTCATGGCATCTATCCACTTGACATTAGTTCTAGCTTGATTATAAGTGTAAGGTTCTTGAAAGGCTGACAAATTAGCAACAAAAGGCGCATGTGTTTTAGAGAAAAGACAACAATCATTAGTAATGTAACTGCAAGAATCATTAGTAATACAGGAATTAACAAGAACGAAATCATCAAAACGGGTAGGTAATTTGGTAGGTCTAGTACTGCGTCGAATGACAGGAACTGGAGGAGATGAAGCAGATGGTGAAGAAGTAATAGGAGGACTGGAACTGATAGGAGGAGATGAAGAAACTGAGGGAGAGAGATTGAAAGCATCATTAGGCAAACAGTCATTCACAGGAATTGGCAACACAATGTCAGGTTGCAAAGATTGAGAAAGTGGAAAAACGTGCTCATGGAATATGACATCACGAGACACAATAGTTTTATGCAAAGACGGACAAAAGATCTTGTAGCCTTTTTGGCCAGTATATTATCCTACAAAGATCCCTTTGTGACTTCTAGGATCAAATTTATCTCGAGTGGGTGTATTATCTACAGCAAATGCAAGGCAACAAAAAGTACGGAGAAGAGTAAGGTCTGGTTTCCTGTGATATAAAAGCTCAAAAGGAGATTGCCAGTTCAAGATAACAGAGGGTAAACGATTAATAAAATGGGTTGCTGTAATTATAGCATCTCCCCAGAAAGTTTTTGGTAAATGAGACTGAATTAATAAAGATCTAGCAACCTGGAGTAGATGTTGATGTTTTCGTTCAACAACTCCATTTTGCTGTGGAGTATACGGAAAACTTTTATGATGTAAAACACCATGTTTAGAAAGAACTAGTTGGCAATACTCATTAAGGAATTCAGTTCCATTGTCAAATTTAACGATTTTAACATTACTATGGAACTGAGTTTGCACCATAAGAA